AAGGAGCTGATAATGTATTTTATCAAGCCCTGAAGCAGTGTCATGAGCTTGCCCAAGGGCAGTATAGAACCCATGAATGAAAAATATTCATTATAGTCCTCCCCGTTGTCTGAATTAAAATTAATTTTTCTTTTTTTCTTGTTGGTCTTTAAAATTTCGTAAAGGCTGGTAAATAATTCACCAATTTTATTGGCAATATCAGATGTTTCAGTTAAAAAAGTGTCACCTTCCTTGAGATGGTGAACAGTACACTTTGATCCTTTACCTTTAATTTTCTGTACCATATTCCAAACCTTAGAAATTGGTGTTCGTGAGTCAATTTTAGAATCATAATTTTTGCCTTGACTGTCGTTTATGTTGCTTAAATGTGCGACGAGCCTTGCCATAAGAAATTTTATATTGATTCAAATTATGGACAGTTGGATGGCGACGGAAATATTGTCCCGCCTTTTTTCTATCCCTTCTAGCTTGTTTGATAAACCATGTTAAACCATGGTTTACGGATGTCAATAAGGGACTGTAGAGGCTTTTGGAATACATTCATCAGAAAAGTTTGAATAGGGTCAATAACATTTAGGAATAAATTGGGTTGCAATCTTCAGTGCATAATGTATGAAATAGAGACCAATCGGCTTTTGTAAAGTTCCACCTTGATGATGGTGGAGTGTCACTTGGATGTACAGTTGCTGGAACAGTGGGGAAATGGTCGCTGCCACAAAGGTCATCATGAACCGACCATACAAATTCATTTAATAAGTTTGAGTCTGTAAAGGGAAAGATGTATTGAAGAATAACTTCCAGTTCCAGGATGCAGATAACTATGGGAATTATCGTTGAATATACATAAATCATTATTGGAGATGAAATCCTCAAGTATTTTTCCTTTAGTATTTATAGCTGTACCATCCCAAACTGGGTTGTAGCCGTTCAAGTCACCTGCAATAATACAGGGTTTAGGGAGTTGATCACACAACTCTTGAACATCTGATTGCTGAAGACATGAAGAGGGTGGAATGTAAAGAGAACATAAAGTAAAGACAAAATTCAAAGTAAGCCTGACTGCAACTGCTTGAAGAGGGTTATTAAAGGGGAATACAAACGAAAACAAAACTTTTGATATATTATTAAGGATATTCTAAAAGTCACATTACATGATTAAAATTGATGAAAAAGTTTGTAAAAGAGCAATAAACATTCGTCACCACTCGCCCCTTTCCGTAACCTCCAAGGAGGCTCGTCCCCCACACGATACTGGTTAGGTGCGAAAATACGACAAACCAATCAGAACGCGCGTAAATGAGCGCGGTGCTTCGATAAAAATAATCCCGAGTACTTAAATCGTTTATGGCATTATGTTATTGTCTAAAGAAACATGAAAAATTATATCGTCATATTGAAAGTACAAAGAACGTAGCTAAAAGGATTTTGCTGCCTCTTATGAAGTTTTTAATAAGAATCATGCAATTGACGGTGAGAAATTCAAATACACGCACTTGCGTTTGTTGACATAAAACAAAATTCAAAGTAAGCCTGACTGCAACTGCTTGAAGAGGGTTATTAAAGGGAATACAAACGAAAACAAACTTTTGATATATTGTTGAGGATATTCTAAAAAGTCACATCACGTGATTAAAATTGAAGAAAAAGTTTGTAAAATAGCAATAAAAGCACAAAACTCGTACTCGTTTTTCTGCCTATTACGGAAACACCCGACAATTAATTAGCAGAGGGGGTATCACGTGAAATGACGTCATATGTGCCTGTTGCTGATGGCTTCCTCTTCGATTTTACCTCACAACTTAATAGTGTCCGTGGATTCTGAAGCAGTAAAAGATGTTCCTGATGTCATTTTTGAAATGGATGTTAGACTGTATCAATACGATCCAAATAATTTAATAAGAATACTATTTGTCAGCAAAATGTGATACAGTTCCTACCAGCAAACTCACCCCTATACATATATGACCAGTCCCTAAGAATTATGTTTTTTGAAATGTGATTGCAGTTCCTTTTGTGTCAAATGAGTGACTCTAGGGTGTCTGGGATTTAAAAACAAAATAATTATGCTTCAAACGGGGGAAATTATCTGCTACAAAAATTACACTGGAATTATTTTGTTGAAAAATTTTAGGATCCTAGTTCTCATTAATAACGTATCAAGTATCCATGCAAGATCCCAGCCTAGCTGGTCGAGCAGAGATAATATTCGCGACGCAGATAACTTATTTCCCAAAACTGGTGAATTATAAATACTAGTCAGGACAATGTATGTTTCCCTAGTTTTTGTGTTTATGGAAATAGTTTTGGTACTCGGTCATAGCCTTAGAATGACATCTTGTCATCCAATGAGAATACAGAACAACTTTCACGGCACACACTACTGACAAATAGCGAGTCTGATGCCAACGTGCGTAATTGGACAATGGAAAACAATGAAAGCAACAGGTACTTCATGATTTGCCGTTGTATTCGGCAATATTTCGGGTAGACTGCAGCATTTAGGACTCCAAACCGAAAAGGACGTTACAGCGAAACATTTTCAAACTCATGCGAAATCTTTTACTGATTTTGATATTTCTCATGGGTACCAGTCGAACTGGGTACCAGTACAAAATGCCCCAGCATTCTAATTTGGTCAAAATGCCCCAATTTATTTAAATTGATTAAATATGTGCCGTAAATGCATAGTTTTTGTCAACTTTGATATTATGTTCTTCATATAATAGTTATTAGGCAGTAATATTTCTGAAAAACGTTCCTTTAGTAAGCTCATAACTATGTATTTACTTTTATATTGTCGTAACCGGGATTTGGGTGTTAGTAAACCCTATAACCAGTTACCTATTAAAATGGCCGTTCCGCATTGTCAGGGGGTGATGTAAGCTCAAGTTACACACTCGCTTGGTCCATGGGATGTTAAGTCTAGGAGTGAGAGGTCAGACGACTGTAACTCCTCAATAAACACATTTCATTCATGTGCTGGCACTCTAGCATACAATGAAAAACTCAACACCAGGTTTTATACTCACATAGCTTTACTCCATCCCTCTCTTCATTACAAAGGTGCGTGGTCTGGACAGGGTGGGGCAAGCTCTTCACCAGATATGGATATCGATCGCGATGCGAACGCTCTGCTGACTTTGTAACCCGCACCACTTTCTAGTGCTGACGGTATCTTTTTAAGGTGTTCGAGCCTGCTCCAACCTTGTCACATGACCCTATACAATCCCTCTGATTTGTTAAAAATTACATCATTCCATGGTCTCATGTCTTGCCTCGTGATCGGAAAATTACTAAAACTCTCATCCTTGATTCATTGTTCATTAATACCTAAAAGGACTTTCCTGTTCTGTCAATAAGATTTATCCTGTTGTTTTGATCCCTTACTTTATTACCAAGCCGTAATAGCATTGCTTTTCTGATGCAATCACAGTAATCCTCACTAACTAATTTGTGATACGTTTCTTGTATAACAGATGCCTTTTTTAACCTTATAACAATATGAAGAACATAATGTCAAAGTTGACAAAACTATGTATTTATGGAGTATATTTAATCAATTTAAATATATTGGGGCATTTTGATTACCCCCACTGGGGCAATTTGACCAAAACTTCGGGGCAATTTGACTAAATTTGCTTGGGCAATTTGTAGAGGGGGCAATTCGACTGGCAATCGGACTTTAATCTAATTTATGTTAAAAATACCACTGACAGTAAGTTGTAACAGGGAATGATGGAGCATAAATGAATCTCGTGGGTACTTCTTCCTTCTTCAGCCTAGCTTTGGGATTTCCATACCCCATGTGTACATGTTTCTTTCATGCGCGTCCGACTCGGAATAATCGTAGCATTTATCGTGCCTAAATCTGTCTCTTTACTTGGGAAACGGTAAAAATGGTGGCTCTTTCCAAAGTTCGATGATTCCGTGCATCCCCAGGCAACGGAACACACCATCGCTCAATTTACAAAAACGACAGAAACAATACGATTTGTATTACTGTAACGCTTGGTCTTTGGCAATATGACGGAAATTGTTATGACATGCCGTTTGCTTCCCTCAGCTTATCTTATCGTAGCTGACATAGTATGACCAGACATTATTGAGAATTTTAAGAATGTTTTTAATTGGATGTCTAGTAAAACAACCTTGACCAGCTATCAAGTGCTTGGTTTCATTCAAGAGGAGACAACCCCGTTAATCCTTTTTCATTAGTTTGTGAAGAGTTATCCCCCTTTGTTTACTTGCTAGCAGACGACATTTTCAGTGATCCTCAGTATGGATGATTTAGAGAAGAGGAAGTTGATTTTAGAGTGTTACAACAAGGACATCAGATCAGCTAAAGTGATTTCAAGTTAGAACAGACATCCCTTTGTTCACTTTTTAGCGTGTTTTGAAAAATATTGCAAATGGATATGGCATTGAGCACCAGGGAGGCGCAGGTAGGCCCAGAAAATTGACTGTCGGTGACAGGAGGCGGCTTGGTATTCTAGTTTCTAAAACAAACGAAGGAGTTTAGAAAACTTAAGGCTGGATATGATTGATAGAGGATATTATAAACCACCCTCTATGTGTGTTGTGTTCAGAATATTCTCATTCCTTCTTTCCACATCTTCACTAAATATTCGTTCCACTGGTTTCTTTATTCCTTTCCATTCCATTCCACAAGTCCTAGTTTCAGACCATCCTGTTTATTATTAGATTCTTCACTATAACCACAACCTAAATCCAATAAAAGTGTTTAAGACTTATAAGATGTCATGGCATCCATTTCCTCTTCATGGTCAATGGGCTGCCTTCCATTTCTTTAATCATGTATACCACCACATTCCTTCCATACCTGTGTGTTCTTTCGTTATATTTTATTTCACATGTATGTGGCTCCATCTTCCATACTCCATATTTCGTTGGGCTGTCTATCCATCTGCTCCTGCTCCATTCCATCCATCCACTTCCACTGTGTCCAGTTTGTCCATGCTCCGTATTTTCTGTGTGGTCTTTCATTATTATTCTTTCCGGTCACTCCATTCCGTTTCCGTGTCTCCATGTGTGTTCATATCCATGTGCTTTCCGTTCTATCCATTCCACTCCTTTTCCTCCTGGGCTTCCTGTTCCATGTGTCCATTCCATTTCCATTCCACTTCCACCATGTCCACATGTGCTATTCCTGTGTGTATACCAGACTCCTTTCCTGTGTCCTCCGTTAAGTGTCTCACCTGTCCACTGTGCCTGTGCTTGTGTCCATGTGTCCTTCCTCCTTGTGTGTCCTTGTGTCCTTGTGTCTGTGTGTGTCCACCTCCGTGTGCCTTGTCCATGTGTCCACTTGTGTCTCGGGTTGTCCATGTGTCCTCCACCTTGTCCTGTGTCCATGTCCATGTGTCTTGTGCCTGTGTCCTTGTGTCTGTCCTGTGTCCACCTCGTCCTCCGGCCACTGTGTCCATTTGTCTCCATGTTCCTTGTCCATGTGTCTTGGTCCACCTCTGTCCATCTTGGTGTTGTCCTTGTCCATGCCTGTCCACTGTGTGTCCATCCTTGTGTGTCCACTGTGCCTCAGTGTCCTCCACTGTGCCACCTCCTTGTTGTGTCCTTGTGGTCTGTGTCCTGTCCACCTCCTTGTGTCTGCCTCCACCTGTGGGCTGTGTCCTGTCCTGTCCACCTCACCTTGTCCGTTCCATCCTGTGTCCACCTGTGTCACTCACCTCTCATGTGTGTGGCTTGTCTCCTTGTGTGTCCACCTCCATGTCCCTCCTCCTCTCGGTCCTGTCCATGTCTTGGTCCACTGTCCTCCATCTGTGTCCTTGTGGCCTCTTGGCCATATGTCTGTGTCCTCCATGTCCATTCCTTGTGTCCCATGTCCTCCACCTCACTGTCCACCTTGTCCTGTCCTCCACCTCGGCCATGTTCCTTGTCCTCTTGGGTCCGTCTCTGGGTCCACGTTTGCCACCTCCTTGTGTCCTCTTGGCCACGATTTCCTCACCTTGTGTCCACTGTCTTCGTCCTAGATCTCTGTGTCCATGTGGTCTCAGGTTGTGTGATCCACCTCAGTCCTCAGGATGCATCTCATGTGTCCATCCCTCAGGATTACATCTCCCCATATGTCCACTATCCTTCATTCTTTATGTCCATTCCTTCCACTGCCACCCCCATATCTCCTGTCCACTATCCATTTATCCATGTCCATTCCGTCCTCCATTCCCTATCCTTATGTCCACCTTCCATATATCCACCTTCATTTCCATTCCACCTCTCCACTGTCCACTATATCCTTATGTCCCTTCCTTATGTCCATTCCTCCTCCATATCTCCTTTCCATCCACCTCCTTATGTCCACCTCTGGTTCCATATCCACCTTCCATATCCACTCACCCCTCCATATGTTCCTTCCATTCGTTTCCTGTCCACTATTCCATTATTCCTTATCTCCACTATCCATTTATATTTCCACTATGTCCATATCCATGTCCACTCTTTCCTCTTGTTCCTCCTCTTTCCTGTCCACTATTCCATATGTCCACCAGTCTCCATATCCACCTTATATCCAGTCCTTTTATTCTTCCATCCACTATCCACTTCTTTCCTTTTCAAGTCCATCCTTTTCCGTTTTCCGTTCTTTCTTTCTTGTCCTTCCATTATTCCTTTTCCACTAAAGTTATTTATTTTCACTGTTTATGTGGTCCACTCCACTATGTCCATTCCATTCCATTCCTTATCCCTCCTTCTTCCATATCTTTATGTCCATTTCCATATAAATCTCACCTCCACTCCTTATGTCCATATCTTTATGTCCACCTTATGTCCACTCCACATTCCACCTTATGTCTCACCTCCGTCCCTCCTCCTCACCTTGTCCATATTTTGTCTCCTTATGTCCATATTTCCACCTCTCGTTATGTCCTTCCTTTTCCTTGTATCCATATCCATTCCACCTCCTGGGTCCTTGTGTCCATGTGTCATGTCCATTTCCTTGTCCTTGGTCCATATGTGTGGGGCCGTTGTCTCGTGTCCTCCTCTTGGCCATGTCTTGTGTCCATTTTCGTTGTCCTTGTGTTCCTCCTTGTCCTTGTGCCTCAGTGTGTCCACCTCAGGGCCATGTCTCACCTTGTCTCCACTGTCCGCTCCTGTCTGTGCTGTCCTTGTGGCCTGGTCGTGTGTCCTCTTCGTCCTTGTCCTTGTCTTGTCCACCTGGGTGTCTCCTTGTCCTTTGTCCACCTCCGGGGCCACTGTGTCCATGTCTTGTGTCCATGTGTCGGCCACTGTTCCTGGGGTTGTGTTCCTTGTCTCCGGGCTGTGTGTCCTCCTTGTCCATGTCCTGGTCCTTGGTCCGCTGTCGGTCCTTTGGCCTTGTCCTGTCCACCTTGGTCCTTGTCCATGTCCATCCACTTGTGTCCGTCTGTGTGTGGGGCCATGTCCATGTGTCGTATCTTGTCCGTCTTGGTCCGCCTCCGCTGTCCTTGTCCTTGTGTCCATTCCATATTTCCTTGGTCCTGTCCGTTTGTGTGTGGTCGTCGTGCCATGTCCATCCGTTATCTTATGTCTTGACGCCATGTCCGTTCCGTCGTTATCGTATTTCGTGTCCGGTCCTTATGTCACTATCCATCCATATCCATGTCGTCGTCCTCTTGGTTCGTCGTTTTGATTTTATCCCTTTCATCCCACCTCCATTCCACTATTTCCTCTCATATAGGTTTATGTCCCTATTCCTATTCCTTCCACCACTGTCCACTATCCATTCCACTATTCCACCATATCCTTTCATGTCCACTCTTTCTCTTGCTGCCTCCTTTCCTATCCACTATCCACATTTCTTCCACATATCCACCAGTCTCCTCTCACCTTATATCCATCCAGTCCTTTTATTCCTTTCCATCCACTACCATTTCATGTCCACCTCTTTTCCTTCAATCTTCCTTCCATAACTCCCTTCTTTCTTTATGGGTAGTCTGCTTCATTTCTTTCTTCAGTCCCTCCTCCACTATGTCCACTCCATCTTCCATTTGTCCACCTCCATGTCCACCTTTATCTTATCCACCATCCACCTCTTCCTTCATTCCACTGTCCACCATGTCCACTTTTTCCTCCACCTCTGTCCATTCCTTGTCCACCATCCACCTCTTGTATTCCACCTTATCTCTTATGTCCATTTATCTCACCTTGTCCATTTTATCCACATATGTCCTTCCTTATTTTATCTCACCTCCATATCCATCTCTCCTTCCGTTCCTTGTCTGACAGTCTCACCTGTCCATCCGTTATCTTTCCTTGTCCACCTCCACCTCAAGTGTGCCTCACATATGTCCTTGTACATATCTCATGTCCACTGTCTCACATGTCCTTTTCCACCTCCTCGTTATCCACCTTGTCCTCTTGTGTCTCACTGTCCACCTCTTCCTTGTCCTCCACCTCTTGGTCCATGTCCACTGTCCATTCCTTGTTCTTGTACGTTCCTCATGTGTCCTCCTCAGGTGGGATGTCCTTGTCCAGTGTGTGGGGCCATGTGTGTGTGCCATGTCCATTCCTTGGGTCCATGTGTGTCCAGCTCCGTTATCCTTGTGTCTTGTGTGTCCACCTCTGTATTTCCTGTGTGTCCTTCGTCTGTCCTGTGTCTCACCTCCTTGTGTGCCTTCCTGTGTCCACCTCTTGGTCCATGCCTTGTCCACTGTTGTGTCCTTGGCCATCCGTTGTGTCTGTGTTCTCATGTGTCCTTCCACCTCCATGTCCACTGTCCGTTGTCTCAGTCCACCTCCATGTCTCACTGTCCGGCTCAGGGCCATGTCTCCTTGGCCCTGGTTGTCCTTCGGGTCCTGTGTCACTCAGGGCCATGCCTTGTGTCTGTCGGCCTCATTTTGTCTCCTTGTGTCCTGTGGGCCTCCATGTCTTGTGTCCATGTCCTCCTCAGGGTTGTCTGTGTCCTGTCCATGTGTCCTCCATTTGTGTCCGGCTCAGGGCCATGCCATATTTCCTGTGGGTTGGCCTCCCCGGGCTGTGTCCTCTCGTGTCCTTTCTTTTCCTCCTTGTCCACCTCCATGTGTCCTTGGTCCTTGTCCTGTCCGGTCCTTTGACCTCCATGCCTTGTGTCCTTGGTGTTGTCCTCCGTGTGCCTTGTGTCCTTCCTCCGTGTGTGTCCATGGGGCCATGTGTCCTGTTCCTTGTCTTGTGTCCTCCATGTTCCTGTGTCCTTGTGGCCTGGTCCACCTTGTCCATGTCCATGTCCATGTCCATTCCATGTGTCCTGGGTCCGTTGTGTCCTTCGTCGTCATGTCTCCATATGTCGTCCTGTCGATCTCGGTCCGGCCATGTGTGGCCGTTTCCTTCCATATCTCATGTCTACTGTCGGCCATATCGTCCACTGTTGGACATCCATATCTTTCGTCTCCATCCACCAGCCATGTCCACCCACCTCCACTGTCCACCTCCATCCACCTCCACCTTCCATTCCACTATTCCACCCCTCCATTTATACCATTTCCTGTCCCACTATTATGTCCACTCGTCTCCTTGTCCTCAGGGTCCATATTTCCATGTCCACTATTCCTCCTCCATATCCACTCTTTCTACTCACCTTTTCCTCCTCCTTTATATCCATATTCCACCTTATGTCCACCTTGGTCTCCATATCCACAGTGCCATATCTGTGTCCTTAAGTCCCTCCATTTTCTGTCTGCCTTCATTGTCCTTCCTCCACTGTGGTCCTTCAGGATTCCTGTCCTTGGCATGGTCCACTGTCCACCTATCCATTCTGGGCCATTCCTTGTCCATATCTCCTTCTTGGCCACACATGTCTTTATGTCCACCATCCACCTCTTGTGTCCACATATGTCCTGCGTCTCCACCTCACCTTGTGTCCACCTTGGCCACACCTTGTGTCCACTCCGTTCCTTGTGTCCATTCCACATATGTGCCGTCTCACTGTGTCCACTGTCCACCTCTTGTGCCTTGTTCCTTGTCTCACCTTGTGTCCTTGTTCCTTGGCCATGTCTTGTCCATGTCCTGTGTCCAGTGTTCCTTGTGTCCTCCTTGTGTCCACTCGTCTCACCTCTCTGTTGTGTCCACCATGTTCCTTGTCCTTGGTTGTGTCTTGGTCCATGCCTCCATCTTGGGTCCATGTGTGTGTCCTTGACCATGTCCTTTGTCCGTGTGTCTCCATGTCCTCCATGCGTCCACTGGGTCCTGTGTCTTCCTCCGGGTCCTCCACCTTGTTCCTTGGCTTGTGTCACCTCCATGTCAGTGTCTGTGGTCCTTGTGTGTCCTCCTTGTGTCTTGTGTTCCACTCACCTCGGTCCTGTCTCACCTCTTATTTCCACTCTTTTCCTCCATTTTCCTCTCACCTCCACTGTCCACCTCCTCTGTGATCACATGTCCCTAATTCTACTTATGTCCACTATTCTATTGCGTATATCTGTCCATTTATCACACCTCTTGTACATTCTAACCGTATGTCCACTATTCCTCCTCGACCTCAAGGCCAACATTATGTCTCACATGTGTCCACTGTTATCCACATCTCACTGCTATGTCCACTAGCCTCTCGGCTATATCTCACTTATGTGTCCTATTCCTACCTTGGCCACATGTCCTTGTCTCATTCGGACCTCTCGGCCACGTTTCTCACATTATGTCCCACTGTTCCACCTCTCAGGACTGTCACATGTCTCACATATGTCCACTGCCCACCTCTCGGTCCACGTATCTCACATCAGAGTCCACTATTCCGCCTCTGTTGCCTCATGTGCAGTAACCTGTTTGTCCATGGTCCCACAGTTTGGACATATTATTCCTGCTTGTGGCCTGAGCTTTTACACCTTGGGAAAGGAAACCTACATGCCGACTGTTTCATGGCCTCAGTCAGCATCTTATCTCCACATGGCCTGAATCTCCACATGGCCCAACGATCCTTACCTCGAGGTCCCTCACTGTCAGCCTCCATGGTCACCCATCCAGCCACATTTGCCCAGCTACCAGCCTACTTGACCACTATCTTCCACGTGGCCACATGTCCCCATGGCCACCTATCTCCCATATTGCTACCTATCTTCACATGTCCACCTATCTCCGGCATACCCACCTATCTCTCACATGTGCCACCCTGTCTCTCCATGTTGCTTTTATCTTCACGCATGCCCATTTCCATGTTTCCATATTGCCCACGCTCCATATGGCCACCTATCCTCCATCATTGCCACCCTATCTCTTCACGGCCACCTATCTCCATATCTCCACATATCTCCACATGCCCACCCATCCCCTGCCTCACATGCGCCCCATTGACAAACTCACGTGCCTAAAGGTGAGGACTACATGTATCACACGTGCTTCGCAGTGAGACAGATCTGAAGTCCTAGGAAACTCTCAGGAGTTAAGCTGCCAAACACGGTCACTCATCCAAAGGATTCCCTGTGCCAACGTTGCTTAACTTCACCTGGTTTTGTGACCTGACTCTGTGCACATGACCATACACCACCACGTCTTCTTGTGATCTCAATATCCACCCATGAAACTTTACATTGAAATTGTTGTTATAGTTTCAAAAGGAACATTATCCGTGCTTCAATCCAACAGAGGAAACAGCCAGTTCAAGTAAATGCACGCAAATGTTAACACTCAAATATCTGTCAACTATTGGTATATTGCTGCCGTTTTTCAGTCTCCCTTATCCCACTTAGAGGGGTGAATGAGTTTAGTTTTACGCGCACTCAGCAATGTTACAGTTATATTGCGGCGATGCTGTAATTAATCATCGAGTCTGGACCGGACAATCCGGTGATCAACAGCATGAAACGTCGATCCTGCCCAGTTGGGAACTGATGACTGTCAACCAAGCCAGCGAGCCTGGCTACCCGATCCCTGTTAGTCGCCTCTTATGACAAGCATGGGTTGCTGAAGATCAATTCTAACCCAGGATCTTCACGTGTGCACGAAGGGGTGCGCCTGAAACTTTTTTCTAACGTGGTCTGCAGTAAACCGCTTACGCTTTGACGACACCGGGTGTTCGGGAAGACAGTAAGCGTGTCCGCCATCCTACTGGTAGCATCCACCTGTTACGCTAAATAGTAGTATAAAAGGGGCGAGTGAGTATAAAAGTGGGTGTTGGTTGTCTGACCACAACACAGCAGTACCCAAAGCCACGGGAGATGCAGTACCCCAGCCACGGAGATGGCCACACTTCTGAGTGGAGTGAGTTAAGGTTTACTCCGCTCTTGTCAATATTCCAGCAACATCACAGCCGGGAACACCACAAATGCGTTTCACAAATTGTACCCATGTGGGGAATCGAACCCGGGTCTTCGGCGTGACGAGCCAACGCTTTAATCATAAGGCTACCTCACCACCCCTGAACGTTAAGAGATTATTCTTATCATAAGGTTATATCCCGATCATGTGTTTCTAAAACGAGTGAGTGATTGAGTTAAGGTTTACTCCGCTCTTGTCAATATTCCAGCAATATCACAGCGGGGACAGTCTTCACAAATGATCTTCATTCATTGTACACCCATGTGGGGAATCGAACCTGGGTCCCGTAAACATTTCTGACAATCAGGATGATCAAACAGCTCACTGATATCAAAGGAATTTAGACACCACTCTCACGCACCAAACGTGATAGAGACAATAATGGAAAGTAGATATGTCTTTGAAAAGATGCTCCAGTCTATCAGTCCATTGTGTTGGTGAGAGTGGGCTCTGTGTTGTTTTGGTGACGCTGTTAACAGTATTTCAGTTTAATCACAATGTTTTTTTAATTCAAATTCAAATACACGCACGTGCGTTTGTTTACATAACGGCTCTCGTGTGTCAATTTCTGACGATCCTGTGTGCTTGTACTTGTAGATTGTACGTGCGCTTTCAAAATGTTTTTTAGGACATATAATTGTATAGTTTGTTTGCAGTGAAAACGTCAGATGAATTTCACTTTAAACCAAAATGTAAACTAAACAGAGTGAAATTAAGACTCGCAAATCCTCATGATTTTACCTTGCCAATTGAACATATAAATCATTTATTCAACTTAGGGATAAAAGTTGTTTAACAAACGATCATAGTTTCACATCGCTATTATCGGTTTGTATGACAAGGGTATGCACATCAAATGAAACACCAAGAACGACAAGGGTTGTTCTAAGTTAACGCTCTTACGTACATTTATGAACATTTGTGTCACTGTTCCAACTACTGCGCTTACCCAATTGTAATACAAACCAGAAATATCGATTTGAATCTATAATCGTTTGTTAAACAACTTTTATCCTAAGTTGAATACAATTCTGGGATTTAAATGTTCAATTGGCAAGGTAAAATTATGAGGAATCACATTCTTAATTTCACTTTATTTGTTTTAATTTTTTTGTTTAATGTGAAATTCATCGGTGCGTTTTCACTGCAAACAGACTATAAAGGCAATAATATCGTATCTATATATAACTAATCTTACTTAACATGTATCTTAAACATTGGGCTTATATTTCCCACCACTGGGGATATTTTTTGGCCGGAAGTTTTGGAGGTCATTCATATTTTCTTTTTATCATATTCATTTTAAAATTCCACCAGGGGGTATGGCAGCAAGGTTAGACAGATGTTCAGTTTGTGAAAATATTTTAAAGTTATTTTTAAGGATCTGCTTTGGGATTTAATAGGCCAGTAGAGACTGCACTGAACTTTGACATTTCTTATAACAGGCCAAATTTATGTCCATTGTGTTGGTGATAGTGTGTTCTGTGTTGTTTTGTTGACTCTGTTAACAGTATTTCAGTTCAATCACAATGGTTTTGTTACATTTCAAATAAAGGAGAAAACCCGTTTAAACATCTTGGTCACTTTCCGCTTTAGTGAAAACCCACAATGGTGGGAGAAGGTGCCTACTTAGAACACTTATGGCGAATATGGACATGAACGGCTGGTGATATTGTTGCCTGGCACACCCAAGGGAGAGAACTCTGTCCATCTTATTACAATGCCTCAGACGTCTTGATAAGCTTTGGCCTCCGTCGTTGGATATTAATGAAATACATAATGTGCAATATTGTAACAATCATATCACGCAAAACAATAGCAACTGCCGAGTACTACACACTGAACTATCGGATGATCAAGACAGGTTTTTTTTCTCCTATGTTGACGTTTTGTATATAAGGCAAAAGAGATTTCAGGATTATTTTGTCAAATGTGAATTCAACATTAAATCATGAAACTCTGTTTTGTCATGAACACAGTATCTGTTCAAGGATTTTTTGCAACAAACATAAACAGTAATGCGTTTTAAATACAACTTTCACCTTAAAGGTCCAGAGATTATATATGCACGCGAGGGTGCGTGCGTGCGTGTGTGTGTGAGTGTGTGAGTGAGTGTATGAGAGTGAATTGCTGATAGAATACTGTTTAACGCCGCTTGTGGCAGTATTCCAGTTACATCACGGCATGTCAGCTGAATATGGAAGGAAGCCCGGAGCTGATTTAGATCTCACGAGGCTACCACTTTGAAGAAACCTAAAAGCAAAGGCATGGTGCCAATAAACCAAGAAATAGAGGCAAACCGGCTTCGAACGATCCTATGTTTCTGGCGTAACAAAGGCACGCCACTCTGAACAGCGAATTGCAGCGCCTTAAACCTGGCTTCTATGGCCGCTTCGTGTTCTGTTATCAGTAGTTGTATCATGTAAGGATCCAACAGATGAAGAATGTTTGGTCAACTCGTCAACCAAATTAGTTCTTCCCACGCAAGTTGGTCTCCGTGGCTGACTTAAGCGTTCCCGAGTGTCCCACGCTGGTGTTGAGATCCCACCAGTACGAATAGTTTCACCACCAGCCTATCTATCTCACTATATCACAAGTGATGCAGAAGATACAGCGGTATACCATGTTGTGTATGGTTGAAATTGTAGTGTTGCACGTAACAACATTGCTATACGTACGAACACAGCTGTATCGCTGACATTGGAGTGTGCCTTCACTTCTCATACACAACAGTTTTATATTTAACCGAGATTTACACCACAGTGATGACGTCACACCATCGTTGTTGCAGTTGATACATAGCCAGAAATTCATTGGCTATTTTGAAAGTGCATTTTAACAAATACAACGGACGAAATTATATGTAAATATGCAAAATTACAGAGACATCATATATAATGGTTGAGGTCGCAGAAATCATTGAAATTGAAACTCTCTCCTTCACAGCTCGTTCATTCTACTTATAAAACCATTAGAATCTCATGAGTTCCCCGTTACCGGTTTAACATGGCTTTAATACTTTTTATCAGTAAAATGTTTGGATTAAATTGTAATTGTTTAATATTGTGTGAAATCAACAATCACTATGGTGTTTTTGTTTAACGAGGTTTCTTTGTCAGCCTTCTATGGAAGAAGTCATCTTCATCTTAACTGGTCCAAGTCGCCAAATATTACGAACTTGGCTTAAACTCTGGTAAACCTACTGCTGATATCAAGAAAAATGTCATCACTTTCTCTTTGCTCATCTTAACTGGTCCAACTGGCCAAATATTACGAACTTGATATCAAATCTGGTAAACCTACTGCTGATATCAACAAAAAATGTCATCACTTTCTTGGTAGAAGAAGAAATTTTAGTGGAGACAGAAATTCTGAAGTGGCGAAAGAAATTTCACAAACTGAAGAAACTGAGTGAGAAAAATGAGGGTCGAAGCTGACACTGGAAACCGTAAAAGCTTGGACAGAAAGAGAAGACAGAAAGGTTCATATTCGGATACAACAAACTGAATAACAAACTCATCTCTCACGGTACCTCGTCAGGGGATAGATCATTTGATCTTAAAGACAGATTACACTTGTTCAGACTTTTTCTGAACGTGATGTTGAAAACCTTTCTTAATTTCGAAGAATTTGAAATGGAATCATAATCAGCGGATCAGTGGGTGCAACGTATCCTTGGAAGAAGAACTCAGGAAGAATATTGTGCCTTACCTACTGATATGAGTTCTGATTATGAGACTGTTAAGGCTTCGGGTTTTGACAGACAGACAGACAGACAGACAGTTTTATTCAGTAAAGGCCACTGGCCCATAATACAGTCAAATGCGTGATCACACATCATATGAATGGTACACAATGATTTATAAAATGTTCTGCTCTTTATTATAATTTTGTACATTATATAAGGATAAAGAAACATTCTTAATGATATCGACATTTACAGATTGCATAATATGGATAAAGTTGTTTATTTTCGGCGGCTTACTTAAATATTTCCCAATATATTTCCCTCGAATATCAGAGAAACATTCACAAATATACAAAATATGCCACTCATCTTCAACAACATTAATACCTTTGGATTTACAAAATAAACAAAATCTTTCATTAGAGTAATATTTTCATGTCTTCGGGTTTTGAAGGCTTATGGATTGGTTAAATGTTCTGGAAGGTACTACATGGTACTACAACCCTATGAGTCTTTCAGCTATATTCTGACCCATGGAGTTGGAGAATATTCTGGATATAGACATAGGGAGACATACTCTTGCCTCTCCTATGACATTACATCTAAGTTCCTAGTAGACGAGCAATAGCGTGAAGATCACTCTCACCCTGGATACTGATGCATTTTATTAAACCATTGCGGCAGTGAGTTGAGTATTTCCATCATCATATTCAACACCATCAACAATACATACCATCGGCCTATGAAGAATTAATCAAACTATAGACTCTATTAAGCACCCAATCAGCGTGTTATTACAACCTAATCCCCTTGTTTATTGGCTTCCATACCAGTCTCATTTGTTGTTTTAGCCTCCCACTGACCTCTCATAATTCTGTGCCAGTGGTTATTCAATTACATATTGTTGTTATTGTTAATCTGCTGTTTGTCAAAACATACTATGTATATATACCTCTCATATATAACGATGTAAGGCTCCACATCGAAAAGTCGCTCTATGCAATAAATAGGAAGTTGTCATCCATAAAGTTGTATGTTTCATTTCCATCGTCTTTCTACTGTGCCGGTGTCCTCCCATTACGCAAACAGCCAGTTCGCAGACACTTTAAAACAACAACATTTACGGTTCAGTGAACAGATTATCTACTACCTGTTCTTACACATTACTGTGGAATAGTCCAAATAAAAAGACAGGAACAAACTGAAGCTTAATTCTTCAAAGGCATTTAGAAGTTGGTGTAGTAATACAAGACAAATCTTATGGATAACATGAATCAAGAAGTTGTTATCCATAAGATTTGTCTTGTATTAAAACTGAAGCTCTATTGTTTATTTTGAAAAGATGGACGAAAAGACAGTAATTGGAATATTTATTGCTGCAATATGAAAACAGTTTTTACAAACATTTCGGTTTAACCTTCTAGTCTAACGGGAGTCGGCATCATTATATTGAAAACATTAGCTTATCTGTTAGAAATTGCGACACTGATAAATCATATAAATCAAATAAAGACAAATGTGAACCTAAATATTATGCATATGGAATAAAGAAGTTATATGTTTTGCACACAGTATTAAGATACATGACGAGTTCACTTAATTACGATTTATTTAGAATAAATATTTAAAATATGACGCATCATGTCAATGTCGCCATGGATGTGAGAATGTTTTTCATTACGTCCTTGAATCACCATTGCATACTACTCAAAGCCATAAACTGTTAAATCTTTAGAAAGTATTGTTAACATTAGAACACTGATTGATATTAATCAGATCTTACATGGCAATGCAGGTGTCTCATTAACTGCAAATCAGAATGTTTCAAATATGTACATATCTATATCTCTCCACACAACGTTTTCTCAGTTAACTTCTGTTGTACATATGCTATTATTGAGGAGGGGCTTTTTATCAATAAACACAATCAAACCTCTCAGTGACAAACCTGTTTTATATTCGATAATAATTGATAGTAAAAACAATTTTGAGAAGAGAAATCATTTATCATTTAAACACAACAATGTTCTATTTACCTACAATCAAACTTCTCAGTAACGAGACCTGCTTCAGGCTCACCCTGCTCTACTTGCTAAACAGTGGACTGTTCCATTATACCTCTAGGGGTTACCCTAATTTCCCTTCTAGTTCAGTGTCTGTCAACTGGGTGTCTGTCAAATGGGAGATAACCACTGTGCCACATGACTCACTGTTTTTGTATGATGCTACTTTGTAGTTATTTGTATTGATGTGTAAACTTAGTTTTGCAATACAATTGTTAGTTACATCATATTACAATACATGAATTACACTATATTTCTTTGTCGTTTGTTGATTTTACACCGAGTTCTTTGACTGGCTAGTTTAAAAATGTTTAGTTTTTAATTGCGAATCAATGCCATATGTAAGATATGCCGATTCCTGTTTGTACTACATCCCAAAGGTCCATAAAACTCCTTGCAAAGATTAAGTGACGGGCTAAAGAAGCGTTAACACTTTGAAATTGAAATTACCAAAAATTCCAAATTCACCTTCAATCACCATCACATGGAAACACATCGCTCGCACGCAACAATGAATTTTCCACTTGGAAATAAGGCATGCAATGCATGCTTTTTCACCATTTTGTCCAAATATGGTTTGCATGTTTTTCAAGCAAAGCGAAAACAATAAATGCCAAACGGATATTAAACCTGATTGCCAGACATTCATTCTATTAAAAAATCAAAAGAATGGTTCGATAAACCTTTATCTACAACGAGAACTTGCGATCGGAATGATCGAAATGGGAGCCACCCAGACCCACGTTGTAAGAACTCATGCAGCGATACCGTCAGCTAGGCCTGACCTCAGCCACGATCAGCGCACGCTGCATCCCAGAAACCGCTTCCTCACGGCGACGTCATCAGCAGCGCATGGCTTGGGTCAACGTGTAAGCTGATACACAGTAGCCAGACGACTGAGATCCTATGGAATCGAGGCTTACAGACCAATCCGGGTACAGCAGTTGACAACCGAACATCGTCGACGGAGGCTTAGATGGGCCCGGAGAGTTCGACGTTGGCAGCGACGTGAGGAGCAGATGATGCTATTCTCGGATGAAAGCTGCATTTCTCTGTTCATATTGTTTTATGGATCTATCTTTTGTGGTTATTTCACAATAGAACTTTTAACCTATGGCAGCGGGTTTTTAGCACGTCGATGTATATTGCAGGGTCCTTCATATTTATCTGTTTTCTGTTTCCCAGCAATATTCCAGCTATATGCTGGCGGTCCTTAAATAATCGAGTCTGGGCAGACAATCCTGTTATCAACATCATGATCCAGCAGATGTTCAACCATAGATTTCATGTGCACGTGAAAAAATAGCTTTCTTGGTGGTATTATTCAGACAACCGCGAGATCCTCGTGTGTTTCCGTGAAACGCCCGTACAAGTGCCTGTTCAGTGAGGTGAAATTGGTTTAACGTCGTGCTAGCGAATATTTCGCTCAGATGACGACGTGCATGCGTGTGTATGTGTGTGTGCTGCTTGTACTAGCCCAGACTGAAGCTGGTTTTATAGTGCTACCCCACTCAGACACATTATACTGACTCCGAGCCAACCAGTCCTTGATGTACCCTTGTCAATGCCGAGCGCCAGGCAGGGCCCAACAAGTGCCATATTTTAACGTCTTTTGGTATGACGCGGTCGGGGATCGTACCCGCGACCTTCCGCTCTCCGGGTGGACGCTACAACCACAACACAAGTGGCTGTCATTTGTGTGACCAGTTAACAGGTAATCACGTGACACAAACCCTGCCGTTTCATTACTAAGGAAATGTGAGAATATTCATTTTGAAATTGCAAGTGAAATGGCCAAATACCATACATGAAATCTTGTATTATTAGAGGGGCGGTGGGGTAGCCTAATGGTTAAAGCGTTCGCACGTCACGCCCGGGTTCGATTTCCCATATGGGTACAATGTGTGAAGCCGAATTCTGGTGTCTCTCCCCAATGATATTGCTGGAATATTGCTAAAAGCGGCGTAAAGTTCACTCACTGTAACATCAATATCATTTACGTTTATGTAACTGTAGCATATATTGAATTTATACAGCATACAGACAAAATACACGTGTCAATACAATACAAAAAACCAAATGTATTCTCCAGGAGCCTGTGAAACAGCTTGTGTGAGCTTGATGTCACTGATGCCATATGTTGTGGTTCATGTTTTATTATTAATCAACAAATTAATGGAAAATTACTTTGTAATTTATTTTATCTGGTAACAACACGATTCACGTGAAATTTCAAACTAAAACTGATATTAACATATTTGTAAAACGCAAATGATTATATTTCAATCTGATGACAAATTACATCGAGTTTGCATTTACAGCTGTTCAGATGTTACAGTCAACAAAGTTCATATTGATTCTACATTCAACAGCCCTTTTGTTTCTGCACGTGTATTTTAAAAATTACGACCATTTGTCAAAGTCCAAGACACGTATTACTCTCTAACAGTTGAAAAACCCTCTGTTTCAGCGAACATATTCTTTAAACATTGTCATAGTCTGTCATAAATCCTTTCAATTGTTACGTTATTGAAACCCTTGTAAGTTTGGAAGTATATGTTGGACACGGCGACAGTTAAGACATTTTCAGTCGTCGGGAGTAGCGCGAAAGGCTGATCCTGGTAAGTGTATTGTTTCAAAATCTGTCATGGTTGTTACTTAAATGTTGTTCCTTTTCAAATCGTGGAGCGCATTTATATTCACATTCAAGAAGCTTCTATAAAAATCGGATACATCTTGTATTTAATCGGGCTAGATTTGACTGAATTGCTAACGGCTGAAGGGATGGTGTAAATCCAGCTAGGGTCCATGCAGGAAGCAAATGTACTGTAAGTGCCCATTGTCCCTAGTATGGTGATCTCCCTCCAATTGTTGGCAATATATAGCCTGTTTTTATATTTTATTATATTCTATCGTTAAAAGGTTTTAGTATATTCCTACTAGTTTTATATCTATACGTGTGATCCTCTAGTTATCTTACTGTCCTTCGTTGTCAGGGATTTATAATTTGACTCTATTTATTACTACATTATTTATTATTCAAATCCTGGTCACGATATGGCTGCAATAATGCCGATGTGACGTTAGATTTTAGTTCACTCACTCCCTCATTGTATATAATAGGATATATAACATTGAAATTGACCCAAATGTACTGAATACAATTGTATGCATGACGACATTCAAAACGTATAATTTAGTTACGTTGTACCCCGTACGCCATTTTAACACTCGTAAAGTGGAACTCGATGTATATTTCGATTTTCACCTTCAGGTCCTGTTATGGTCCTCATCACAAAGATGGGGGCTATCATTGTCCACATATCTATGATGGGTTTATCATTGTGTGCTAGCCCATGCCTGCTCTATTGTTGTCCTTATAACCTCTATGGGTTTATCATTGTCCATAGATCCCGTTACCATGGTGGGTCTGTAATTGTCCATAGATCCATGATGGGTCTACTGTTGTTCATATATCCAGTATAGCATTATGGGTCTGCAATTGTCCTTATAACATTGGTTGGTTTATAATTGTCCATAGATCCATAATGGGTCTATCATTGTCCCTCTGACCATGATGGGTGTATCATTGTCCATAGATCCATAATGGCTCTGCCATAGTCCCTCTGACCACGATGGGTTTATCATTGTCCATAGATCCATAATGGGTCTGTCATTGTCCCTCTGACCATGATGGGTTTATCATTGTCCTTAGATCCATAATGGGTCTATCATTGTCCCTCTGACCATGATGGGTTTGTCATTGTCCATAGATCAATAATGGGCCTTTCAGAATCCCTCTGACCATGATGGGTTTATCATTGTCCATATATTCATAATGGGTGTATCAGAGTCCCTCTGATCTCGATGGGTTTATCATTGTCCATGGGTCCATAATGGGTCTATTATTGACCCTCTGACCATGATGGGTTTATCATTGACCCTCTGACCATGATGGGTTTATTATTGTCCATAGATCCATAAAGGGTGTTTCTTTGTCCCTTTGACCATGATGGGTTTATCAATGTCCATAGATCCATAATGGGTTTATCATTGTCCATAGATCCATAATGGGTCTGTCATTGTCCCTCTGACCATGATGGGTTTATCATTGTCCATAGATCCATAATAGGTCTATCACTGACCCTCTGACCATGATGGGTTTATCATTGTCCATAGATCCATAAAGGGAGTTTCATTGACCCTCTGACCATGATGGGTTTATCATTGTCTATAGATCCATAAAGGATGTTTCATTGACACTCTGACCATGATGGATTTATCATTGTCCATAGATCCATAAAGGGTGTTTCATTGTCTCTCTGACCATGATGGGTTTATCATTGTCCATAGATCCATAATAGGTCTATCATTGACCCTCTGACCATGATGGGTTTATCATTGTCCATAGATCCATAATGGGTCTATTATTGACCCTCTGACCATGATGGGTTTATCATTGTCCACAGATCCATAATGGGTCTATCATTGTGTACGCCACACGTTAGATCTGTATGTACTTTCAGGTCATTGGTCGTACTAATATTTCATCATACTAATGTATGTATAGCGCCAATATCAGCCCAGCTGCTCAAAGGAGCTTTGTTTGATGATGGGCGCACCATGGTCCACGCCTCTATCGTACATCACTTTAATCATCTGATACGTCTCTCAGTGTCCGCATCTTCAGGATGTATCCGCTTGCATATCTC